TAGAACGGCCAGACTGGGTCAGACCAAAGGTCCATCTAGCCCAGTGTCCTGTCTTCCGACATTGGCCAATGCCAGGTGCCCCAGAGGGAATGAACAGAACAGGGAATCATCAAGCGATCCATCCCCTGTTGCCCATTCCCAGCATCTGGCAAACAGACATATAGAACTTGCTTATTATAGAAACTTCTCTTACCTTTTGAAACTTAAGACTGTAACTCATTTGTGTGTGTATGTTTGCCTACTTTAATCTTGTACATAACTCTTGTTTCCTTTCCCTAGTTAATAAATCTTCAGATAGTTTATTGTAGAATTAGCGACAAGCATTGTTTTTGGTGTGAGAACTAAGGTGTGATTGACCTGTGTTAAGTGACTGATCCTTTAGGACTGGGAATAACCTGAATATTTCTGTGATTCTTGGTGTAAGGGACCGTCTGTCACAAAGGTAGGCTCACCTGGGTAGCCAGATAGACCGGAGTACCCATGGAGGACTGTCTGTGACTCCATGTTTCGCTGTTATAGTGCCTGAGGAGTTTACACTTGATAACTGGTGGGTGAAATCCACATATAAAATTCACAGCCAATGTGGTGTTTGTGCCCTGGTTCCTAATAGTCTGCCCTGAGGTTGGTTCTCACATTCTTGAGTCACTGCAGGCAGTTTGACAGTGTATTGCCACGATAGGTGACTACATATTGGTCCAAGAGGTCCCAGAACCCGTCATTAACAAAGTGCTAGAAGGTTGCAGGGGCGGTCATAAGATCAGACGGCATCACTACGTTCTCTAAATGATCATAATGGCTTTGGAAGGTGGTCTTCCATTCATCCCCTGCCCAGATGTGCACCAAGTTACAACCCCCCGCCAAAGGTCTATTTTCGTAGATAGCCAAGAAGACCTTACATGGTCTAGCAGTTCAGAGGTCAGAGCTAAGGAGTACATATGTAGGGTGGTTGGCTCTGTTTCAGACATTGTGTAGATTCGAACCTAAAGGGCCTGTGCTCCAGACTGCAAATCTATGGGGCAGTTGTAGTCCCAGTGCGGGGGTAGGGTAGCTGCATTATTTTTCTCAAAAACACCCCCCTAGTCTTGTTATTGACAGGTAGGTTGAGGGTCAGTCCTGAGTATGGCCCCATCTGACTCCCCACCAGTGCCCGGGATTCCCTTGAGATGAGCACTGCCTCATGCTAGAAGGGTCTACCCAGGTCCAAAGACCTATGGCCGGCTGTGGGCAGACAGACTTGCTGGCAACATTTGTAGGGGAAGCTGATGTTTTGTTACCACCAGAAGACCTGGGGGTTGCAGAGAGCCAGAAATGAGACACTGCGTATCAGCGGGAAATGCAGGTAACGGATTGCACTGAATCCCAGTGCCGCTCGGTGTCCGTGGAAGGTGACTTCCAGGGATGCAGTCTCTTCCTCCATCAGACCTGGGGACAGGAGTGACCAGACTATCATCTCTAGGAGGTCCAGGGTAGATTTCAGCCATTCGGGGATTTCCACAGCTTGAGCTGTACTGGTGTCTATAAAGTTATCAGCAGCATCAGAATCAACAAGGGCCCAGTGTGAAGGTATTTGTCGGCACTCACCCAGAATGCATAACTGTATCCGTACTTGAAAGTGCGCTGGGGACCTATGTGGCCCAGGGCACGTTCCAGTCAGGTCTCTCTGGGCTAGTGTTTGCAAAGGGCAGGCAGCCAGAGCGGGGCTGGGCTCACTGCCATAAAAACATAGGTTATTACGCCAGCATCGCTCCTCTCCTTGGTGGTCAGATGCCAGTGAGCCAGACTGACCCGCCTGGGCTCGGGGGTCTGGTCTGCAGATGAGGGGCCGGGGTATCGAAAGGACAGCTGCGACACCCTTTTTTCTCCTCCCTTCACTCACACAACTGGTTGTCAATACAGAGAGCTAAGTTGATGAAGGCATCCAGACTTGTAGGTGTTTCTGCCTGGACTTGCTTGTCCTTGGTCTCTTCCTAGAGCCTGCCTCGAAACGGAGAAAGCCGAGCTGTCCCATTCCATTCTGCGTCAGCAGTGAGCCATTGGAGAGGTGGGGTGTACGAGGTAGCCCGGCCCGGTCAGATCCTCTGCTGGGTGGCTTCGGCTGAATAGCATGGAAGAGTTGAGAATGCCTGCAGGGAAGTGTTCCAACCCTCCATCACTGGGGTCTTTTGTTCCAAGAGGGGAAGGCCAGTCTAACACTTCCACTTTTGCCTGCTCTGTGGAACAGGTCTGGGGTGGAGCAGGAAAAATAGTTCATAGAATATCAGGGTTGGAAGGGACCTCAGGAGGTCATCTAGTCCAACCCCCTGCTCAAAGCAGGACCAATGCCCAGACAGATTTTTACCCCAGTTCCCTAAATGGCCCCCTCAAGGATTGAACTCACAACCCTGGGTTTAAATTAAATTAATGGAGATATCCTATCTCCTAGAACTGGAAGGGACCTTGAGGGTCATCAAGTCCAGCCCCCTACCTTCACTAGCAGGACCAAGTACTGATTGCCCCAGATCCCTAAGTGTCCCCCCTCAAGGATTGAACTCACAACCCTGGGTTTAA